TGTTACAGCACCGCAAGTCGCTGTACAGAGTTACAGCACCGCAAGTCGCTGTACATAATTACGGCACTGGAAGTCGCTATACAGAGTTACGGCACCGCAAGTCGCTACATAGAGTTACGACACCGCAACTCGCTGTACAGTGTTACGGCACCGCAAGTCTATGAACAAGGTTACGTCACCGCAAGTCGCTGCACAGAGTTACAGCACCGCAAGTCTATGAACAAGGTTACGGCACCGCAAGTCGCTGTACAGAGTTACAGCACCGCAAGTCGCTGTACAGAGTTACGGCACCGCAACTCGCTGTATAGAGTTACGGCACCGCAAGTCTATGAACAAGGTTACGGCACCGCAAGTCGCTGCACAGAGTTACGGCACCGCAAGTCTATGAACAAGGTTACGGCACCGCAAGTCGCTGTACAGAGTTACGGCACCGCAAGTCGCTGTACAGAGTTACGGCACCGCAAGTCGCTGTACAGAGTTACGGCACCGCAAGTCGCTACACAGAGTTACGACACTGCAAGTCGCTGTACAGAGTTACGGTACCGCAAGTCTATGAACAAATTTACGGCACCGCAAGTCGCTGTACAGAGCTTCGACACCGCAAGTCGCTGTACAGAGTTACAGCCCCGCAAATCGCTGTACAGAGTTACAGCACCGCAAGTCGCTGTACAGAGTTACGTCACCGCAAATCGCAGTACAGAGTTACAGCACCGCAAGTCGCTGTACAGAGTTACAGCACCGCAAGTCGCTGTACAGAGTTACAGCACCGCAAGTCGCTGTACAGAGTTACGTCACCGCAAATCGCAGTACAGAGTTACAGCACCGCAAGTCGCTGTACAGAGTTACGACACCGCAAATCGCAGTACAGAGTTACAGCACCGCAAGTCGCTGTACAGAGTTACAGCACCGCAAGTCGCTGTACAGAGTTGCAGCACCGCAAGTCGCTACACAGAGTTACGGGACCGCAAGTCGCTACACAGAGTTACGGGACCGCAAGTCGCTACACAGAGTTACGGGACCGCAAGTCGCTACACAGAGTTACAGCACCGCAAGTCGCTGTACAGAGTTACGACACCGCAAATCGCAGTACAGAGTTACAGCACCGCAACTCGCTGTACAGAGTTACAGCACCGCAAGTCGCTACACAGAGTTACAGCACCGCAAGTCGCTACACAGAGTTACAGCACCGCAAGTCGCTGTACAGAGTTACAGCACTGCAAGTCGCTACACAGAGTTACAGCACCGCAAGTCGCTACACAGAGTTACGGGACAGCAAGTCGCTACACAGAGTTACAGCACCGCAAGTCGCTGTACAGAGTTACAGCACCGCAAGTCGCTACACAGAGTTACGGCACCGCACGGAGTTAACTTCCGATTATGAAATATGGCATGTCAGAAACATAATCCTCCTTCCTTCCGGTTTCAACACAATGATGCACCTACGACCTGGGCCAGTTCGGGACCCCCTTACCTTCAGCTGACAATAATAATATAATACTGTACAAACCCAACTCAATCACTCACACATTCCCCCGACCATCAGATGATGTGTTGGTTATATCATGGTAGAAATCACTCTTCTTTGTCTTCTCTTCCCAAAGGGAACCACGTCGTGTCCTAATATGGCCTGACGCATTATTGGCTGCAACCCTATCTCAACACGCACCCAACTCTATTCTTTTGCATTCGTATATTCGTGCTGGATTAATACCATAAAAGGGGTCATTGAACACCTGGCGACAGACACGAGGCGTTATAACAGGAGATTTCTGATTGGCTCAACACCCTGTGGCAATGTCGGTGTCCCTGGGGAGCGTGGAGCTATCAGTATCACGTAGCCTTGCGTTTTGAGTAGGAATGAAAGAGAGAGATACAAAAAACCTAACATTATCGTTATTGAATTCGTTGAATGATTTGTATAGAATATGGTGTTTTCAGAAAAATGCAAATCTCCAGTCAAATTATGAAATATCCACTTTACGTTTCGAAGAAGTAATACAATGAATCTCATCCTAACAATGTCAATACACATCATGTAATATATTAACGCAGGTACAAAATATCGATTTGGTGATGTGGGTCGGTATAACAAAAAGTCGAATGGAGGCAACGTCCGCACGCATTCGAAGTGCATGGGCTAATACAAATTTAGAAGGTATGGCGTCCACCATAATTCTTGTCACAGCAAATGTCTCAGTCTGTTTACGGTAAATATATTTAACTTTGTTTTCAGGTCCACAGTGCCATACCATCAGGGAACGTATTTCTAACCGAAGTGACGAGACTTTACTTTAGTCACGTTATGCCACCACGTTATAGCTATATACAAAGACGTAGTCACATGTTGCCATTGTTTGTGAGTGACCTCTAGTGACGTCCAGTGACCTACATTGTATAGGGACCTCTAGCTCTAGTGAGTGAGTATAGTTTTACGTCGCTTTAGCAACATCACGCCGGGGGCAGCAGAAATGGGCTAAACACCTTGTACCCATATAGGGAATCGAACTCGGGTCTTCGACGTGACGAGCGAACGCTTTATCCACAAGGCTACCCCGCCGCCTCTAACCTCCAGTGACCTCTAGTGGCAGAAATCTGCCAATCATCAGGCCGATGCTTTACCGCCTTCGTGGTGCATTGTGAGACACTGTGTCAAAAAGGTTCAAGGTTCTAAGACGCATTTCCTTTACCTTTGACGTCTCATGGACCTGGTGATGTAATGACTACTAGACATACCTACACAGTTGCACACTGGATAACGACTGCACTTCTTCGTCCTCATACTTTACCCATCGTTATCCATTAATGTGTAGGGGGCACGGGTGGCCCAGTCGTCTAACGCGCCGCGATTCGCTGTGCAGAGTTGCGTCCCTTGGGCACGCCAGAAACCTAAGGTTGTGGGTTCGAATCCAGGTTCGCCCCGATTATGTTTCTAGGTTTGTCAACACCATACCCGTGCTCGTGGGTTTCACCGAAGTGGTAAACGTCTAAAACCTGCATCTCTTCGGGCTTTCCTCCCACATTAAGCTGACACGGCGTGATATAACTGTTATACTGTTAAAAGCGGCGTTAAACCCAACTCACTCACTCACTCATTAATTTGTATATTAATCAGACACATGTGGTTGTAACACAATGAGTTGGCTGCAGCTCGCTGTCAGTAAATCTACGAAACTAATTAGTTAACAACTCAAAAACAGTAAATTATTAACGAGTTCATTACCCTGTGTCCTGTCGCTCGGTAAAGTATGTCAGTCGACGTGTGTACAGACATGCATGCACAGACTGTTACAGTAGGTTTACAGGTGTCTACAGGGGCCCGCGGGCTGAGAAGACCTCTCACCGGAGACCAGATCGATTGCAACGAACTTGAAAGACCTGAAGCTGGACACTCGTATTCCACGTGGGCTGTACAGTGACACATGTATGACAAGAGTAACGTTACCGTGTGGACTCCATGGTAACGAGTGAGACGCTTCACTGTCATAACATATCCGCGAAGTGCTATAGATATGGTAAACTACTCATGAAGTGTTTTCTAGTCTATGGTAACCTACTCATGAAGTGTAATCTAGTCTATGGTAAACTACTCATGAAGTGTTATCTAGTCTATGGTAAACTACCCATGAAATGTTATCCAGTCTATGGTAAACTACCCATGAAATGTTATCTAGTCTATGGTAAACTACTCATGAAGTGTTTCCCATTCTATGGTAACCTACTCGAGAAATATTATCTAGTCTATGGTAAACAACCCATGAAATGTTATCTGGTCAATGGTAACCTAATCATGCAGTTTCATCCAGTTTATGGTAACCTACTCATGAAGTGCTACCTAGCCTATGATAATCTAACCGTGAAGCGCTATCAAGTCGATGAAAACCTGACCGTGAAGCGTTATCTAGTCTATGGTAACCTACCAGTGAAGTGTTATCCAGTCTAAGGTTACCTACTCGAGAAATATTATCTAGTCTATGGTAAACTACTTGTGAAGTGTCATCCAATCTGAGGTAACCTCCCCGTGAAGCGTTATCTAGCTCATGGTAACCTACTCGTAAAGTGTTTCATTTATACCTGAACATGTATCAGTGTTTCTGGGCTTCCACGTTTTTTAGCAAGATCGTTTTACTCCCGTCACAATCACACAAGGTATCTAGCTCACAAGGCAAAACATATTAAGCCAGTCTGGGTGAATGCTTCAACCACGCTATTGTAACCTACACGTAAAGCGTTATCTAGTCTTTGGTAACCTATCCGGGAAGTGTTTCCCAGTCTGTGGTTACCTATCCGAAAAAGTTTCCCGGTCTGTGGTAACTTATCCGGGAGATGTTTCCTGGTCTGTGGTAACCTATCTGGGAAGTGTTTCCCGGTCTGTGATAACTTATCTGGGAAGTGTTCCCCGGTCTGTGGTAACCTATCCGGGAAGTGTTCCCCGGTCTTTGGTAACCTATCCGGGAAGTGTTTCCCGGTCTGTGGTAACCTATCCGGGAAGTGTTTTCCGGTCTGTGGTAACCTATCCGGGAAGTGTTCCCCGGTCTTTGGTAACCTATCCGGGAAGTGTTCCCCGGTATTTGGTAACCTATCCGGGAAGTGTTTCCCGGTCTGTGGTAACCTATCCGGGAAGTGTTCCCCGGTTTGTGGTGACCTATCCGGGAAGTGTTCCCCGGTCTTTGGTAACCTATTCGGGAAGTGTTCCCCGGTCTTTGGTAACCTATCCGGGAAGTTGGTTGGTTGGTTTGTTGTTTTACGCCGCACTCAGCAATATTCCAGCTATATCACGGCGGTCTGAAAATAATCGAGTCTGGACCAGACAATCCAGTGTCATGAGCATCGATCCAGGCCATTGGGATCGATGACATGCATCAACCAAGTCAGCGAGCATGACCACCCAATCCCGTTAGTCACCTTTTACGGCAAGCATTGGTTGCTGAAGACCTATTCTACCCCGGAATCTTCACGGGTCTATCTATCCGGGAAGTGTTCCCCGGTCTGTGGTAACCTACCTGTGAGGTGTGAGCCGGTCTTGGTGCTGGACCAGAGGCAGGCTGCGATGCTGACGTAGGTGTACCCCATGATGACGACAGGAACCAGGTAGAACGTGACGAATATAAAAATGTCGTAGTTGAGAGCAAGGCTGCTCATAGATTTATCCGGCGTACATGACGTCATCAGCAGCGTCAGATTCTGTGGAATCATCTGGTCGGGCGTCTCTTTGAACAGCAGCAACCGCGGGATCGACAACACGTGGGCCAGCAACCAGATGACGACGATGGAAATAACCACACGGCGTTTCGTCTCCTTGAACGTCAGAGGGTGACATATGGCGAACCAGCGTTCAATGGAGATCGCCGTCAACGTCAAGACAGATATGATGATCGTCACCGTCTGGAACAAATATTGTCAAAGTAAGCTGTACTCTGTCATCAAACAATAACCTTTTATGGAAAACAACAATGCCTTAGTTTGACACCAATCTGATTTTATACGAAATAGTCACTTGTAACTGTTAGGTCATAATATGCACCCGGTGATGTTTTCGGAGAAGAATTTGTACCGAAATTTGCCCAACGAGGCGACTATATGGATTGTGTGGTCAGGATTCGTGATTTGGTTGATTGGGTGTCAGTGGTATCCCGACAGCATGGGGTGTTCATAATATCAATAACCTGTTTCTTTTTCTGGCCAATACTCCATTATTTACATATGGCCGTCGACCCGTGAAGATCCGGGTTCGAATACGTCTTCAGTAACCCAGGCGACTATGCTTGTCGTAAGAGGCGACTAACGGGATCGGGTGGTCAGGTTCGCTGACTTCGTTGATGCATGTCATCGTATCCCAATTTCGTGATGTCAATAACCGGATTGGCCGGTCCAGACTCGATTATTTACAGACCGCCGTCAAGTAGCGTGAATATTGCTGAGTGAGGCGTAAAACAACAAACAAACAAACACACATATGACCGTCATATAGCTGGAAAACTGCTGGAGAAGCAACGTAAACAAAACAACAACAAGAATTAGGAGTTAGAACAAGCAGCATTCTCTAAACCGAAATAAGTGATCGGACTTTGCCTAAATGTTTCCCGATTGAACGTAAGATGTTCGACGGTTGCCAATACCGTCCGATTTAGGATGTGATGGAGGATGTGATGCAGTATATAGCTGGGGAATCGAACAAGGGTCTTCGTCATGACGAGAAAGAGCTTTAGTTACTAGACTACCCCACTTTCAGCGTGACAGCGTGTACTTGTGTTTTAGCGGTTGTTCTTTATCCATATTTATGCCTAAGCTAAAATAAATGAGGCTTTATTTTGAACTCTGATATACATTACAGAAAATTCGATATCGACGTAAATGTACATTGAGGCCTCTGGAGATTCATAAAAGTAATAAACCTTGATCTGGCAAGGAGAAACATGGTCGGAAGTCTATCAAAAGACAAGGTTGTGAATTATAGAGAAAAATGAAATCCAGACCGATGTGTAATGATTGCTAAATGTCCAATGCAATCTTGCAGGCAGCACAACAACTGATCACGGGGGCGGTTTAATGTTACGAACAGGAGGGGAAGGATCGTCATGGCAAGTTTATAGCGTCATTATAATCACTGAGTGGCGCTTCAGGAAGTCAGTGTTGTACACTGTTTCTGATTTTGGGCTTTCGATCGTGTTATTCTTTATCTACAAAATGTACCACTTGTGTTAAAGGCTACTGCCTTGATCACTAATCGCACTCTCTCCTATTACTAATCGATTAAGTCCATAAACCTGACTATAAAACCGTACCAAAACAAATTAAAAAGATTTCGTGAGATTTCAACAGCTCCATTGATTATGTGTAGGAGAAACACGATTTAAAATGTCACCGAAATGACCATTCAATCGCAGCTAGGTGGAGATATGAGACACAGATGTACGTAACAATCACGATATATGTACATAAGGCATAGATTGACCGACACGTAAATACTGCGTTCAAAGATGTCGCCGAAAAGATCAAAGGCGCCGTATTTTTTCATCCTGCGGTAAAGTACACTTTGAGAGATACAGTATAATGGGCTGACGTCATCGCGCTGTTTAAATTACCTCCCCGGTGATCTAACGTATCCGTGGTAACATTGTTCTATCATTACCGTAAATCGAGATGGCGCACCCACTTCAATTATCGATCGGTGAAATAGTTTATTGAAACTTGTCGAATATTTTACTATTATTCTCTTGGAAGAAATATGGCAAATATTCAACACATTCAAACCAATGTGTCCGTACGTCAGGGACAAAATTGTCCGAGGCGGGCGTTGGTGCCCTAGGAATTATGTGAATGGGCAATCCTATAAAAGTATCGTAACAATAAATAGAACTGTTGGTCAGTGCTGGGCATTTAGCAACATACTGTAGTCGATCAAAACGGCCAATGGAGTTCCACCTCCGCCATCTTTGTCCCACGGAGACGGCTTCATGTTGTGAACCTACTCGGTAAACACCCCGCTTCATGGGTCACAGTTGCTGCCGTCTCCCCCAACATTAGTGTTGGAAACAAAGTTGTATTTTTTACGACAGAAAACACCCCAACTTACAATAACCAGCGACCCTTGCTAGTTCCGGGTTAGAATAGGTCTTTAGCAACCCATGCTTGCTGAGTGCGGCGAAAAACAATAAACAAACAATACATAACCAGCGGCACAAAGGATCGTTATGTTTACAACGTTAGTCTTTTATTCAGCATCTTAGAAAAGTAATAGAGTTAATAAAGTTTGTTCTTCCCCCTTGTGTAGTGTAATGAAGTATAGTTTTGCCTTGATCCATTATAACGTCAAAGCAATTCGAGCGCAAGCGTCCTTCATTACATTAATTTTGTGGAAATACTCCCGGCCATTTTTATACTATTGGGAAAGACCTAATGACATTTACAATTTGGAAAAAACTTCATGACACTTACTATTTGGAAAGACTTGCTGACACTTGCTATTTTAAAAGACTTCATGACCTCTACTTTATGGAAAGACTTCCTGACACTTGCTATTTGGAAAGACGTCCTGACACTTACTGCCTACTATTTGGAAAGACTTCCTGACCTTTACTTTTTGGAAAGACTTCCTGACACTTGCTATTTGGAAAGACGTCCTGTCACTTACTGCCTGCTATTTGGAAAGACTTCATGAGACTTACTATTGGGAAAGATAAATATTTCCAAGAGCAGTATTCTATATCAACGTTTCCATAATTCGTTAGTCAGGACGATATCAGCAGAAAACGTATCATTTAGATTATAGGAGTTTTACTGACTCTCATCCACATCCTTCAAATGGCTTCATTGTTTTACTGAACTGTTCCCTTCCATGTTGCTCTGGTCACCATGACGATGACAGAGACGGTGTGTGTGGAAACACATCGTATCTTCAGGAATAAAAATATTAGCGAATACAAGACATTTGTGATTAAAACTCTCGCCCTGATGAAGAAAGAAAAGTTCTATGGATGAACAACTTCTTTATTACAATTAGTGCGACGTTTCGGTGTAGATCCTAACACCTTTATCAAGCAAGTGATAAAGGTGCTTGATAAAGGTGTTAGGATCTACACCGAAACGTCGCACTAATTGTAATAAAGAAGTTGTTCATCCATAGAACTTGTCTTTCTTCATCACACCAACTTCTAAATGCCACTGAAAGAAGTCTCGACCTGATACCAAATGCACGAACACTGTGAGAGAAGAATCTTTACAATACAAAATGGCTGCTTTGTCTGGCCGAGAGCATCCTCCAGAATGAGACAACTATGGATGCCTTGCCCCCTTTCCTTGACTAGAGATACGGGTACTTCCATACGGTGGCTGCACGAGTTATGTCTCTCATGTAATAAACTATGACCTTGGGGTCGAATCACATTCGTCCTGATTATGTTTCTTGATTTGTCAGCATCATTCATACCCGTGACCAAATGTATATGTCCCACATTAAACAGACATAACGTGATATAACTGCCATACTGTTAAAGCTGACTTACCGTTTTATAACACCCTGTGATATCACTGATATACACAGCCGCTTTAAAAGAACACTAACACGTCTCACATTTCGGACTCATTATATGAAGGTATCGTCTCTTTAATTCCTGCCTGGCATTTTATGAAGGTCTCGATCAACTCTTTAATTCCTAAATGGCATTGTATGAAGGTCCCGTCTCGCTAATGCCTGGCTGGCATTATAGGAACTGTCTAATTAATTACTAAATAGCAATCTATAAAGGTGCTGACTGTTTAATTCTTGACTAGCATTATATGAAGACGTCTCGTTTGTCCATGAAGAGGATAATATGGAGCTGTAAAGAAGGATCAGTGCCCATAGTTCCAGGCAAACACCCCTTCCTAACACAAGCCTATAACCTAGAAAGGATAAAGTTGATTTAATTCAGGGCTAATGGTTACTTATCGCTTCCAACATAATACCATGGCTTGTCACAGCCATAAGAAAGATAGCATATATTAATTGTGTTGTAGGATAGACTATCGACAAAGAAATATAGGCTTGCATTCACTCATCCCAGTTCCATCCTTCCGACAAGACGTAAGTCCCCCGAGGCATTAACTCAGTGTTAATGAAGCCTGGTCTCTGCTGAGGAGGAATGACTAGTTGTTTTAGTATCCATCGAGGCCCCCGCCTATAGTCCGCTCAGTCATCCGTTCGGACAACGCAGCAAGTACTAAGTCAGTCTTATAACGAAGTTAATTATCTGCCCAAGCGTCGTCACCAGAAAAATGTGTTAATTTATGAATGCCTATCTAAGAACACTGCCTAACGTCCCGAGACAAGGGAGCTAAGTAACTCAACAACCTTAATTGACCATACTCGGAACACTAATTCAACGTACACCACCAATTTACTGGCATACAAGTGACAACGGGTTCACGTAGGGTGCATATGATTACAATCTGTGTAAAGCATGAATAACGCCAAACCGTGGTGTGACATGAACAACGCAAACCCGGAACAGTAATAATAACGCTAATCTTGGTACAGCATGGATAACGCCAACCTCGCTATTACACCCTCACCCCAGTACAGCGTGGATAACGCCAATCCTGGTATAACATGGATAACGCCAACCTCGCTATTACACCCTCACCCCAGTACAACATGGATATCGCCAACCTTTTGTATAGAATTGATAACGTCAATCTTGGTATAGCATGGATAACGCCAACCTTGGTATGGCATTGATTACGGCAAACTTGGTATAGCATGGATAACGTCAACCTTGGTATAGCATGGATAACGTCAACCTTGGTATAGCATAGATAACGCCAACCTTGGTATAGCTAGGATAACGCCAACCTTGGTATAGCATGGATAACGCCAACCTTGGTATAGCATGGATAACGCCAAC